TCTCTCTCTCTCTCTCTCTCTCTCTCTCTCTCTCTCTCTCTCTCTCTCTCTCTCTCTCTCTCTCTCTCTCTCTTTTCCTCGTACTCACACACTCACGTACCCATTCCATCGATAGGATGAGCAGAAAAAAACGAAATGAATCTTCTGCTGAAAAGCGGAAATATACACTGTCACTTTTCGATCCCCTCGTTCTAACGATGCAAGCAGTGCGCGGCAGGTCGGAGACTTAGCCGTCTCTCTCTCTCGCTCTCTCTCTCTCACACACACACACACCCACACCCACACACACACTCATACCCACTCATACATTTCATCGATAGGATGAGCAAAAACGGAATGAATCTTTCGTTGAAACGTGGAAATATACACTGCCACTTTTTGATTGCTCATTCTATCGATCCAAGTAGCGTGCGGTGAGGTGCGGGTTGGAGACTTAGCAGTCTCTCTCACTCTCCTTCTCACACACACACGCACATGCACGCAAGCACACACCCACATACGCGAGCATCGAGCCCAAGATGATAGCGTGCAATCACCCGTATGTACCTATATACATACGCATATACTCATATATCTATAGATCTATATTTATATACAATGCGATCCTGCAGATGAGCGGGGTGAAAGCGTAGTAACCACGATGCTAGCAGCAGTGCACCCTTCCCGAAGGCAGCGGGAGATTCATCCTACTTCGCCTCTCCTCTAGGTGGAAGCTCCATGAGGTATAGCCGTGAGATTGGACTTACCGTATTGTTGCTCTCGTTGTCGTTGACAACCGGATGTTCCCCGCTCCGCAACGCACGCGACACGATGTGCAACATATCGGGACCATGGCACGGGGGCATGACTAGCACAAGCGTGCCTTCCAACTAAGCCAGGTGGATGACACGCCCTCCTCACGACGTCAACGGCGGACGCATGGCTGAGTGAGTATTGGTCTTCCTCTCTCTTTTCTTCTCCTCCTTCTTCTTCTTCTTCTTTCTCTTTCCCTTCTCCTCCTTTTTCCCTCTTCTCCTTCTATGTGTGCTTCCCTCTTCCCGCATCTTACCTGTGCTACCCCCACCCCTGTTTCCTTTCCTTCGTTCGTGCGTTCTTCCTGTTTTACTTCGCGCGACCCATTTCTCCCTCCACTCGATGTTTGAATGCTCTCCTCCGTGTTCTTTCTCCCCCCTTTCGTGCGCCCTTCTTTCCTACTTCTGCGCGTCCATCCCGCCTTCCTCTTTCTTGTGCTGCTCCCCATCCTCTGTGTTCCCCCTCCCCGACTTCGTGGTCGTATCGCCTGATCGCGCCGTGCCCCCGCTGCTTTGTGAGCTTTCACGAATTGTCACTGAAGTAATGAGAGGCATCGGTCCTACCTCCGCGACTTCGGCCGGATTCATGGCCATAACGAGTAACTTGAATGAATCGGTATCGGTTTCGGAGGCGGATTCATTCAAGTGAATCTTTGAAGGAGCAGCTACGAGAAAAGAGAGAAAGAAAGAAAATAAATAATAAGAAATCAAAAAAATGAATATAGCTAACTAAAAAAAATTAAAAAAAATAAAAATAAAAGAGCAGAATCTAATTTCTAACTACCCCGTTGTGCCAACTGTCACAACGGGTTCTAACTGTAGCATCTCCCGTTTTCGAAGTCACGGGTCTAAGCCCCCGGCGCCCGGAGTCGGGGTAAAAACACAGCTCCCTTATCGCAAAAAAAAAACTAGCTCAAGGTTGGGGCAGATTCGATCCCTAGGTCTCCAGCTTGATAGTCTGCCCTGAATTCTACTGAGCTAACTTCCACTTCGAGTAGAAGTGGGGCAACTCAAATAGCTGTAGAGCATTGGGGTTCAGCCCACCTAGTGGTATGAACCCGTATTTAAGTCTGTGCCCGTATGCATGCTTGCCTCAAAAAAAAAAATGTGCCAATTTTTTTGCCACGTTGGACCTATGTTTACACCACATTTCAACTGTTTGTAAACTGCTGGCCGGGGGGGGGGGTGTATGTTCAACACAAAATGAAGGAAACCAACACTGGCCGTATATTGGGGACACTGAAACTTGTGTGTTCAACTGTTGGACCAACTGTTGAAAAACAGTTGGTCCAACTGTTGATCCATTGTTGGTGGCTTGTTGAAATATTGTTGAAAGTTGTTGGAATGTTGTTGAAACTTTGTTGAAATGTGTTGAACCGTGTTGAAACTGTGTTGGAATTTGTTGAAGCAGGGTATTGGACCGTATGCACTAGCAGTTTCTACACA